CTCACGGCTCAGAAGTTGTTGCCTAGCACGATATATTAACAGCGATATATTAATTAAAACTTTAGAAATTGTTCGTGAAAACTGAGAAGTCGCATATTTCTACCGCGAAAACGAAGCTAGCCCTTCGATGCTAAAATCCAGGTAAAACCCAGGTAAATCTCTGTTCATGAATTATTAGTTAGTTTGAAAACCTGGGCAAGCAGGGAAGTGCCCCGGGCAAGCAAAACTTAAGGGTTACTTGCCCAACGGGTAAGGTGTAATTCAAATATTTTTCGAGCCCTGACGCGCTCCAACGATACAAATGTTTTATGCATTTTAAGTGATGGTGTTTGAGACCCTTTTGAGGAGCGAAAAGGCTCCTTGTTGCGTTTAGTGTGTTGCGTTACATAGCGTTACTACTGCAAGGACATTTATCACATGTACTCAATCGTGTTGTAAATCTACTTTCTTAAGTGAAGGAAAATTAACTAATCGCAAGGGTTGTGCGGTAAATCATCTATCTTGATCATTGAATGAAGGAAAGTTTAATTCGAGCAATGAAAAGAGTCACTTGATCCATGAAAACCTCTACCTTGCGTAAGGCGAAACACCGGAAAGCTGGAAAGCAAAAGGCAGTCGACCATTGAAAGGTGTTGATGGGCCTGTGCGTCTCCTACCATTTGCTAGCGCATTTAAATCTTCTACCCTCAAAGTTAAGCTCTCATTAGGGTATCTCTTGATGACTTCCTTTGCGATGTGATAATGAGGGTCAGTTTTTAGGTGTCATTTCCCCATTTGTATGTTTTTGAGGTTTGGCAAAGCCGGATGAGATTGTGTTACAAAGGCAATATTTTCTTCTGTGCGCGCGCTATTTCTATGTTTTAAAGTGGGTAGTTACTAAAACGAAGACCCCTAAAACGAAGATCCCCTACCAAAACGAAGACCCCTACCAAAACAAAGACCCCCTACAAAAACGAAGACCCCCTGCTAAAACGAAGACCCCCTACCAAAACGAAGACCCATTACCAAAACGAAGACCCATTACCAAAACGAAGACCATTACCAAAACGAAGACCCATTACCAAAACGAAGACCCATTAAATAAATTCGTTATGTTCGTGAGACACACTACGAAAACGAAGATCTTTACGGAAATCTTGAATTCTGAATTTGGCGCGTCTGTAATTTATTGCGGAATGTTTCAACAGTAGAGCTCTATGGAGCTTTAAATGGGACTACTTTAAAGCTAAAACGAGATTAATCGAAGAAACATGACATGCACATGGAAGATGCGTTGCGTGAATCTTTAAGCGATGTAGGTAAAGAAAACATTACAAAAGACAACTGTCAAGAAGAACATATGGAATTCATATATTCCACCAACTAAAATAGGATAGATGTATTGATTTGAATTTAATTACGTTTCCCTAGCTCTTCACGTAAAACAAATTTACTAAGCGAATCAAATGTCTCCAGTTGCAATCGTTATGTTTTGTTTTTAAGATCGTGTTCCTTTCCCTTTTTTCTTTTCTATCGTTTGACTTTAGTTCGAACCACGCTCACTTCTACAACTTCAATTTGCTATACTGTTTTGATTCGCCGCTTTTTTTAAGAATTAAAATTATCAACAGGATCATTCATGAAATGTCACTCAAATGAGTTTCCGGAAACATTAAATACAAAGCGCATTATTGCAAGCTTTGTCCTGTGTATTTTGCCTATGGTTTTGCTGCTGGTAAAAATGGAGTCTTACCTTCTATTATCCGTCGGAAAAACGTAGAAGTCAGTAAATGTGACCGATTCTGCCCGAGAAATTTTATTGTCTGAAGCCTGGACTTGTCAGGAGAGTTTCCTTGACAGCTGGATTACACCCCATGTTGTGAAACCATTTGTGTATGTAACCTTTCAGGGCAAAGTCACGTGTAGACTGTGATGAGAAACCCTAGGAGCTCGAGCAGTTGAACACACGTTGAAGGGTTAAACAATCAGAGTATTTATTAGAAAAAGCGGCGGATCTTCGTTTTGGTAGGGGGTCTTCGTTTTGGGGGTCTTCGTTTTAGTGACTACCAGTACGTATACTTCTCTCCTGCAGAAATAACTCCAGAGTTATGTTTCTCAAAACCCTCATCTAGGTTTCCTCTAATCTTGGAGGGTATTTTGAAACTCTACGTTTTTACTAAACGTGGAGCGAGACAAATTCGTTCTTAAGAGGCGTGGGGCTTCTTTTACAAATCCCATATTTACGCTTGGTGGAAAAAGTTCGTTCATTACCAAGGTCTCTGTCTCTTTAATATGCGTTTGCATGTCAGGGGTCAATTCCCTGTTAAAATAGCTCGTGTCTAGAAATATAATTTCTGACTCTGAAATCATTCATCCCGCCATCGGTTACGAGTGTAACTGTTGCCAATTGTGTCGAGATTCTTAAGCAGATTGCAGTTT